TTTTGCACGACAAATTTACGACAAAAAAACGACAAATTATTCACCTAATAAAACTTCTGTAGGAACATCGGGTGACGTTGGTAGCGCTAACTTGATATCAAGTAGCAATACCAGGGTATTTAAGAAAAAAGAAAAACGCGACAATTTTTTTTTTTTGCGCGACAAATTTGCGACAAAAAAACGACAAATTATTCACCTAATAAAACTTCTGTAGGAACATCGGGTGACGTTGGTAGCGCTAACTTGATATCAAGTTAGCACTACCAGGGTATTTAAGAAAAAAGAAAAACGCGACAAATTTATTTTTTGCACGACAAATTTACGCCAAAAAAACGACAAATTATTCACCTAATAAAACTTCTCTAGGAACATCGGGTGACGCTGGTAGGGCTTACTTGATATCAAGTAGCAATACCAGGGTATTTAAGAAAAAAGAAAAACGCGACAATTTTTTTTTGCGCTACAAATTTGCGACAAATTATTCACCCAATAAAACTTCTGTAGGAACATCGGGTGACGTTGGTAGCGCTAACTTGATATCAAGTAGCAATACCAGGGTATTTAAGAAAAAAGAAAAACGCTACAAATTTTTTTTTTGCGCGACAAATTTGCGACAAAAAAACGACAAATTATTCACCTAATAAAACTTCTGTAGGAACATCGGGTGACGTTGGTAGCGCTAACTTGATATCAAGTAGCAATACCAGGGTATTTAAGAAAAAATAAAAACGCGACAATTTTTTTTTTTACGCGACAAATTTGCGACAAAAAAACGACAAATTATTCACCTAATAAAACTTCTGTAGGAACATCGGGTGACGTTGGTAGCGCTAACTTGATATCAAGTAGCAATACCAGGGTATTTAAGAAAAAAGAAAAACGCGACAATTTTTTTTTTGCGCGACAAATTTGCGACAAAAAAACGACAAATTATTCACCTAATAAAACTTCTGTAGGAACATCGGGTGACGTTGGTAGCGCTAACTTGATATCAAGTTAGCACTACCAGGGTATTTAAGAAAAAAGAAAAACGCGACAAATTTATTTTTTGCACGACAAATTTACGCCAAAAAAACGACAAATTATTCACCTAATAAAGCTTCTCTAGGAACATCGGGTGACGTTGGTAGGGCTTACTTGATATCAAGTAGCAATACCAGGGTATTTAAGAAAAAAGAAAAACGCGACAAATTTTTTTTTGCGCGACAAATTTGCGACACAAAAACGACAAATTATTCACCTAATAAAACTTCTGTAGGAACATCGGGTGACGTTGGTAGCGCTAACTTGATATCAAGTTAGCACTACCAGGGTATTTAAGAAAAAAGAAAAACGCGACAAATTTATTTTTTGCACGACAAATTTACGACAAAAAAACGACAAATTATTCACCTAATAAAACTTCTGTAGGAACATCGGGTGACGTTGGTAGCGCTAACTTGATATCAAGTAGCAATACCAGGGTATTTAAGAAAAAAGAAAAACGCGACAAATTTATTTTTTGCGCGACAAATTTGCGACAAAAAAACGACAAATTATTCACCTAATAAAACTTCTGTAGGAACATCGGGTGACGTTGGTAGCGCTAACTTGATATCAAGTAGCAATACCAGGGTATTTAAGAAAAAAGAAAAACGCGACAATTTTTTTTTTGCGCGACAAATTTGCGACAAAAAAACGACAAATTATTCACCTAATAAAACTTCTGTAGGAACATCGGGTGACGTTGGTAGCGCTAACTTGATATCAAGTAGCAATACCAGGGTATTTAAGAAAAAATAAAAACGCGACAAATTTTTTTTTTACGCGACAAATTTGCTTTTTATTTTCACCCTTTACATTTTAGTTAGTTTCCCTTTAAATCAATAATTAGAAGTATGATGAATGTCTTATATCTTCCTCTCTAAATAGTTAAAATTAGAAGTGCCGATTTTTCTCAAATATTTAATTTCGGGCCTCGGAAAACTCCGGAAAAGTATTTTTCAGTCAATAAATCGAGTTGTGAAAGAAGTAAGTCTTTCAATTATTATGTGCGTGCTCTAGCTATTTGAAGTAAATGATAATTAGAGTAATTTAGTGAATTAAGGACGAAATAATGTAAGTACTCTTGGTGTATTTTTTTCCAAGATGGATTTTGACATTGAAAACTTTTAAACATAAACAATACCGCCTAGGCCTGATTGGACGCAAAATGAGGTATCCCTGCAGGTTGGAATCAGTTTTACAATGTATGTCGTGCAAATGGCATCTTGCGACCAATAAGCGGCATTGTTTATGTTTCAAAGTTGCCAATGTCAGAATCTAACTTGGGAAAAATAAAGTTTAGTGACATGTTAATTTGACTTTATCAATGTTGAAATGGCTATGATGTAAGTGAATTGATAATGATGGGACTTTGCAAATATGTTATTAACTTGAGTAAACTTTTGAATATTCTTTGCTTAGTATAAATAGGAAATTTTAATGACTGTTGAATATCGTGAGCTCTGTCTAATGAAGAGAATTGAAGTATAATGAAAATTGAAATAATGATTATAGTTAAATAATATTTTGGTCTTTATCTGATAAAAAGAATTGAAACTAAATACGTGTTGATTTGAAGTAGTATTGTTCTGTTTGAGTTTAGGATTTTTGGGGGGAAGCTTAATCATCACAAGTACCTATCGAAAAGATTTAATCAACATGTTTATTGTTTTGAAATAATATTCACTCTGGCTAAGTTTACGATTTTTGAGTAAAAGTTTTGATCGGCAGTAAGCGGATTCAGGGGTTTGTGGCTGTAAAGTAAGAATCATTTTAGAATTTTTTTTTTTTTTTTTGTAGTAGGAAGGTGTTGGTTAGGGTATAAAATAAGGGAACCATTGGTATAAAGGCTCTGTTTATATTCTCAAACAAAGTCTATTTATTAATTGAAAACCGTACTACAGTTGTTTATCTCACTTGCAAATAGACCCGCCCCCACAATTTTATTTTAAGGTAGCTGCCCAGAAAATAATTACCATCAAATACGACCACTCGCAATTTACCCTCTAACTTGAATAAGAGAGTACTTGGCGCGGACGCTACATATTGATGGAAACTGTCATGAGGAATAAGTTTGTTAACTTCTGATGTCTGTTTGTATATCGGGTTTAAGTTGTCTCTCATCTTCTTTCTAGATGCACAAATTTCAACAGTATAATTTGTGACAAGTGCATTGCTGACGTCACAGTAATCTCTACGTAATCGTAGTTCTTGCCCGTTCTTGTATTCGAGCTGGTAATGGGGCTGAAGAGGTTCCATCTATCATCTCATATAGATCTTTTGCACTTGGGGCACACGTCAATTGAAACATCCATTTATGGTAATTTCGCCCATAAAACATGATAAAAGAACTAACATTAATTTTATCGGCTATTTTCCTTTCTATGTGCTTATTACTCCTTGAACTATACCTAATACACTATGCAGTAAAATCAAAACTGTCATGTTTCACTGGTGAACTGGGCCCATAACCTTTTGGAGTTTCTTGTAGTTGAACAAAACTACCAAACACGAAATTTTTATTGCAAGAACGCATTTATTTATAATAATAACTTAAGAAAAATATGAGCAAGGCTAATTTTGGCTGAATAAAACAAAGACTAAAAAAAAAGGCATCTGTCAAACCTCAAATTACAGTTAAACAGAACAGCTACCGTGCTTCTGTGTTCAGTAAATTTTTCCTCATAGGGAAAATATTTGCTACATGTGGTTTACATTAGGTACGTATATTTTTCAAGTAAAAGTTTTTTCATCATATTATTAATTAAACATTAATATAAGTTTCCATCCGCAAGAAAGGGAGGTGATTTGAAATTTTAATATTAATCCAATTCAAATTTGCAGCTACCAGTAAATAAATCGTAGGCTTGTGCCATTACTACCGTAATTTAATTCGAAACATGAAAAGCTAAAATAACACATCTTCTTTTCTCTTTGCCTTCTGCTGTGTCGATAAAGATATGTGATATCACCAATACTTAAAATACCTGTTCAACTCCAGTGTATTGAATGATGGTAATTTGTAAACAATAGATTTTATAATATCTCCACATTACATCCCACATAACAGTGAAAGAACATTCATCATATTCTCAGAATATTCCCTCAAAGTACTTTTTGGAATGTTCTTTTAGGAATGTTCAATGAATATTCTAAGATTGTTTCGATTGAAATATTCATTTTTGAACGTTCTATTTATGTACTAGGAATGTTGCTTCTATGCACCTACCTGAAAGATTGTGCTAAGAACCTACTTTATATAACATTCTTTGAATATTCTCATACGAACATTATTATAATGTACCCTAAAAAATGTTCTTTAAGCTAATATTTCTATCAAGTATTAAGAATATACCTACCAAGTTGTGCTGAGAAGTTTATGTAGGTAGGTAACCATGATAAGAATATTTTCATATTGTTCACCTAATTATCTAAAGTACCTACTCAAAAATCTTGATTATACAATTAAACAATAATGCTCTATCTAGAACCTACTAAGAATATTAAAGGTATATTCTTTTTCTTTTGCTTTGTATGACTTCCAAGAGAGGGAGCGACGCGCTATTAAAGATCTACATCTTGCCTCGCATTTGAATCACCTTGGAACCTGTTTCTCTCAGTTGGCGTGCTTCGACGAGAGCATAACAAGCTCGAAACCGGAGCTTTGGTTAAATACTCGTGTTTTCTAGAGAAGTTTTCCAACAACTCTTTCACTGCCTTTAATATAAAAGGGCTGAAACGAGTATTATTTGGAAGCGAAAATTAACATTCCAAGTATATCCTTAGAATCAAACAAGAATGTTATGTCTAGGATGCATATTGAGAATGATATATGTAAATATATTCTAAGAATATTTCAAGCATATTGGTATAATATTCTTTTGAGAACATAACTATAATAACATAGAAACATTCTTTGAATGTGAGAATATAGGTACGTTTCGAGCATATTTTTAGAATCAAACAGGAATATTCTTTTCAGGACGTACTGAGAATCTCATAGGTATATTCTAGGAATATCCTAATGGATTTCCCAGGAAGTTCTTGGGTATTGCAAACAGTATTTCTACAATCTTTTCTCAGAACATTCTCAGGACATTCGCAATGGTTTTGGCGAACATTCTAGGCACATTCCTCCTAAAAAAAGAACATTCTTAACACATTCTAAGGATGCAATTTTGTTATGTGGGATATGAATGTACCTACTTTATGATAAACACTATTTAATAATTAAGTAAATGCAAATTCTTATTTCATTCGGAAAAGCTATCAGTTGTTTCAAGTGTCGAATATGAAATAGATTTTCCTGTTCTCAAAATTGGTTTTCTGCCCTAAAAATTGAAAAACACAGTTTTCAATCCTCCAATGACCTCCAAAACCTGCTGCAAACTTACAGTTTCTTTTTCAATTTCCAACAATAAAGGACATAACATCAAATTCAAAAATCCCACCAGTCGCATTAACCAAGGAAATCCCAGAACTTCCACGGCTTGACCGCCCAGTAGTGGTCCAAAGGAATAAGCTATAGCCACAGCAGCCTGTTGGAAGGCATAAACAGGCCCGTACTGATTGCTTCCTTGGTCGTCGACAAAATTTGCTAGAAGGGGTACTAATGATGCATCGACTGCGCCTGAAAAAATAATTGCTCAGAGGTTCATTTGGAGTCCATAAATATCCAGTACCAACTCCTAAACCTAATCCAAAATGAGGTATGGCTAATTGCATCATAGTATTTGCCATTGGTACATAGCAACAACTTATGCCTGCTACCACCATTGCACTTATTGAGATTCGCCAGGGCAGAACAGGAAGTAACCCTACAACATTTAATGAAACGACTGTTATATCCATCAAAATTATAATATTGCTAGTCTATACTGTGAAAAATGGAAGGAAATAGGTCAAACTTCTATACCGCTTCCTATTGGGTCATCAAAAATAATTGAGAATTAAAATGTTAAATATAATCTGCTATAACAACCATTTTATGCAGGCCTTGGCCAAGGAAATATAGTAATGTAGGTAATTAACAAATTCGTACCTGCAAAGTGAGACCCAATAAAATAACCCAAACTATCTGGTATAAATACTGCTCCCAGTTGCCATTTGGACGGTCTCGGCTTCATATGCAATAACAACCACATGGGCACGCACGGTTCCAGTATGGCCATCGATGTTGTGCAAATACATATGGCACAACCTGATATAATTGTTACTTTGTTTTTTAAAAGATCCAGCCATTGTTTATAGGTAGAATCCAATTTCTTTTTTTCTTCGTTTTCTTTATTAGTTTTTAGATATGCAAGTTGTAGACCTGAAATATTTATTGAAATTCAAACTTTCGAACAAACAAAACAAAAAGAACTTGGTTGACCAGTCAGAAACAACTACTCCGAGGGGCAAATACCCCTACCGGCGTTGAATTACACTGATTGGTCTGAGCTTTCGTTGGCATGAAAAAAGAAAGTTTTTTTCAGGTAATGACCAACCATTACTCAGTGGGTTGATTCCGAAACAGGGACTCTTGTGTCCCTGATTTCACGTTGGTCATTACCTGAAAAAACTTTCCAACAAAAACAAAAAGACTTTTCTTTTTTTTTGTTTGTTTGATTCTTTGGTCATCAAGTTAACATCGATATTTTAACATAAGATTAAATCATCCCTTTGAATGAAACGTTTTTCATTTTCAAAAAGCAGACTGTGGAAGAGTGTGCGGCTCCAGAATTGGCTTATATATAGCCATCAGAAAACGCACAATCGACGATAATAAGAATAGAATAGAATAGAATAGAAGATAATCATACTCGGTATGGGTTATTTTTACCGGTCGTCTGCGTAGCCTAGGACTACATATCCAGCTCTGCTCAGCTGGGTTAGGTTGTTATGTAATGCCTGAGACCACCTCCTTGAGGATATCCTTTGACTGGGGATACGAATGATACGATTGATGTCGCTCCTTATCCTTCTGCAGTTATGAGGCGATTTGTGTTGTCAGAGGCTCCATCATTTCAATGATAGCAGTAAGAGCGATTTCCTTGCATTCAATTGTCTTTTCTATGTCTTTCACTAGGCAGTGCAGGGCATTTATTTTAGATTTACCTGATTGGTAGGCGAATTGCCTAGGATGAAGCGGTGTTTGCAATAGGATCTCGCTTCTGATGCATGATGTTTCTCCATAATCTTGACAAGAAAGGAGGTTAGGATGATGGCACGGTTTGATTCAAATTCGTCTTTCGGCCTGTCTTGGGTATCAATACATTATAACATTAGCTTCCCCCCATTTTTTATATATGTCCCAGGATGAGGTTGAGGCTTGCTCTGGAAACTTGGTAGATGTAATTTTAAGTTCTCATAATAATATCCTCTTTGCAGTAGGGCAGAACAGATCCCGTCTTCACCTGGGGATTTTTATGGCTTAAAACAGTCGATCTTGCATCTTATTCCACTTGTGTGAATATTTTGTTGGCTAGTCGTTTGTTCTGTGGAGATTCATCCGAGCGTCTTCTATGATTTGTAAGCTAGGTAAGTGAGTCTGTAATAGTACCTCTAAACTCGTCTAGTTTCCAGTCGTTTTTTTCTTGTTGAACTGCTTTTGTTTTGAGATGCTATAGTTCCCAGTTCCACCAAGCCACACCCTTGTGAATTGCCTCTTATTTACTGAGATGTTCCCATATAGTCGAAGAGACGAGCTCGATAGTGAGACAATTTGGAGTAACAGTAAATACACATTTTATTATTATGTATTTTGACGAGCTGAATCGATATATGCATAAATTTTAACTATTAGCCCTTGGCGTCAGGGTGGAAATCGCATTTAAAGGGTTGAAATTTAAATATCTCGCGAACAAATAGGAAATTGGAGAAAAGTTTCAAACAAATGTTTTAGCCTGTAAAATTAGACGCAAAAAACCACCAGACATTTTTTCTTTGTGAACGCCAAGTGCGAAGGACATCCCTGCTTTAACGCGACAAACTTCTAGAACAGCGTAGCGGTTGTTTTTTTTTCTTTTTGTAGTAGGTAGGTACCTACCTAGTCTATTTTTCATTATTCTTTTTTATTCCGAAGTATTTGGATTGTTCATAGTTTGTGTTTATTCCTGTTTAAGTTGAGTTATTGGTTGTAAATAATTACAAAAATCCACCGATGTTTTCAAGAAAACCACTTTATTAATATAGACGCTAGCAATAGTTGCCATGAATTTTGCATAGAAATAATTATGCGGGATAAAGTAAAGTCCGTCTCAAAATTAAAGATACGTCAAAATGACATTAAGTTGGCAATACAATGTAAAATCACGTTAAATTGTCAATGCTTCCAAATTTTTTATCTACGACCAGTACAATAGGTAACTATTATATTACTAATTTCTGCTTATTTGCCATATGTAATAAGCCCTATTATCGCACTAGTGCGGTAATGAATCATAACGCGTTCATTATCACCCTAGTACACAATCGAGAACACAATAATTATTTATAATGGACAAACGACAATAGTCACTTATTGTGAAGATCGTAAATAAAATGTTGTATATCACAAGTACGGTAAGGCTCATCACACCCCTCTGGTATTACCACGACTCGGTCTACGACCTCGTGCGGAAAAAATCATTTTCCGCACTTGTTAGGTAAATAGCTATTACAGAGGATGGTCGTTACGGTAACGCAAAAAAGTTTTTATCCAACATTAGCAATAAAAGTAGATTTATCAAGCAACTGTCGAATTTCTTGCGAGAAAATGGTATACGCCACGGTATACAAGTAGCTATATAATATAGCGACGCAGACAAATTATGGTTTTTCTTAACTTTTGTTCTTACCTGATGTGAAGCTCATAGGGCAAATGTTGTACCTAGCACGTGCACAAAGTGTCTTTTCCGCATGCGAAACTTATCCGCAACATCTCGTGCGCATAGTTATTCCAACTACCAAGGCTTGTGTAAAAAAAATCAAGGAAAAAAATATACATTTTATTATTTTGTTATGTGTTAATGTTTTATTTGTTCCTATATCTTTCACAAATGAGTAACAAATAAATTATTGTACAGGGTGTCCCAAATTTGAGCAGCATTATTGGGATATTAGAAACGGTAAGAGATACAGGGTTAGTTGAATTATGCCAAAGTTCTCCTCTACAAGATGCCACTATCAAATTTAAATATGACGTTTCGTCTTTGGTCCACCATCATCAACTTTATTTTTTTTTAAATACGACCCTGGATTTTTTATATCAGATTTAGAGAGCTTCTGATGTCCCGAAACCTATGACGTATCGCATAATATAGACCATTTTCGTTTCGCAACCGGTTCGGCCTCTGGCTGGTTCGGATATGAAAGACCAAGTGATGCCTGTGACATCAGCGGTTTGCAATGGAAAACGGTTGGGTTAGTTGGGTTGGCCTTGAAGAAGGACCAAAGGGAATCGAAAACAGTCATACTATTTTGCCGCAAACGTCAAAAAATTACGACTTTTTTAACCTCAATTCTTAATGTTGAAGTTTGATTTTACAGAGGTCATTTTTTTGTTACTTTTTTGTCCGGCCGTGACATAAGCGTACAAAAAAGTGACGTCACAGAAATTTAACCTTGACAATCACAAAACCAGTAAGCACAGCAATCTAATTTTACGTTTTTCTTCATCTAATCCTTTCTGACAATACCTTTTTCCTTGATTTCATCGTTTGAACACCGTTTGCGGAAAAAATCGCATGTTTTATTCGGAGAAAAGCACTTTTTGTGGCTCGTCTAAAATTGTCAAACATTTAGTCTCGCCACAAAAAGTATCATTTTTCCTCCTAATAAAACAATATACTATTTTAGTAATTTCCTACAAAAAATTCTCTTCTCTGTCTCTCTCTAACACATTAATTAGTTCTTATGGACATTGCCAAGAATATAAATTTTCCGAATAAGTGCAATACGTCATTGGAGAAGCTTATAAAATGTAAAATAAAAAATAGGGGCCCTTATTGGGAAAAATTAAGTTGATGATGGTGGCCCAAAGACGAAACGTCAGATTTTAAATTTGATAGTGGCATCTTGTAGCAGAGAAAAAGTATTTTCACGAGATACCTTAACCGCTACCACTTTTTTTGGCAAATTTTTATATTCGGTTCATATCTGGACAATGGTAACACTTAGGTATAAAAATAAAAACATAATTTTAAAGAAAATTTTCAATTCAAATTCAAATTCAAAATAAGCTTTATTATCCAAAAGACAAAAATAGTCTCATTGTCAAAGCAAAACTAAAACTATTATATAAAGTCAGTAGGTACACAAAAACAAATTAGGCATAAGACAAATTTCATTAGCTTCAATTTAATAGGGTATAACATTTTCTGTGAGACGCACCATTTTCGAGATAAAAGCCAAGAACTGAAAAAAGTGACCTTTGGGAGGGCTCCCTCCACCCCACGGCGCGTGAAATCGACGGGTCTTTATGTCTTTATGAGACGTTGTTAGGGATATCAACCCCTAGACATTCTTGAAAAAATTGAAACCCCATCATTTAATGAGAGATCGAAACCTATTTTCCCTGGACTAACGCATGAGGTGCGGTGAGACCGCGTGAACGCTGAAGACACCGGACTAAGCACTCTCAGTGTTGCCGCGTGCATTTTTATCCCTTTTTGGCGCTGAAAACTTTGAAACTCGCTAGAGGATTAACTGTTGAAAACAAAGAAAAAATGTTTGGTGGTTTTTTGCGTCTAATTTTACAGGCTATAACATTTGTTTGAAACTTTTTTCGAATTTTCTATTTATTCGCGAGATATTTGAATTTCGACCCTTTAAATGCGATTTCCACTCTGAAGCCAAGGGCTAATAGTTTAATTTATGCATATATCGATTCAGCTCGTCAAAATACATAATAATAAAATGTTTATTTACTGTTACTCTAAATTGTCTTACTTTCGAGCTCGTCTCTTCGACTAATAAAAATTTTTAATTGCATTTGTTGGCCGTTGCCGGTATTATAAGAAGTAATAAAACCATACTAAAGACTCGAGAGAAAGTTTTAACATTCAATCTCGAACCATCGAGAAAAACGACTGTTTACGCAATAGTATTTGAAATTTAGTAAACTGGACTGCGACTGGAAAATCGCGCAAACAAATAGAAATAGAAATGAAAATGATACCATAGGGTTGTCGAAACACACTAAAGATATTTCCACTCTCCTGGGTTTTCTTATAAGCTGTGTGTATATACGGGGATCCCCTGGAAAACGGTTCTCCACAACCACCAACGTATCACCATCGACTTAAGGCACTCAAGGTCCCTTTTTAACGGCACAAGACATAGACTTTTCGA